GTATCGAAAGCTTTAGAGAGGTCGACGAAGATGCAGAGGGCTGGTTTTTTCGAGTCTAATATATCATATATTTGTGATGTTAACATGTGTATTGCATCTTCAGTCGATTTTCCCTCTCTAAAGCCGAATTGATTAGATGAAATTATATTGAACTTATCAACAAATTTTGTTATTCGTGATTTGAGTATTTTTTCTATTATTTTGGAAATGTTAGAAATGAGAGATATTGGCCGATAATTTACAATTTTTGTCTTATCCCCATTTTTGTATAGTGGCTTTATTATTCCTGTTTTCAGGCAGTTTGGAAAACATCCTGTGGTGAAGCATGTATTAATGATGTGAGTCAGTGGATCAGAAATTTGGCGTGACACTTCTTTCAAAGTCTCGCTGCATATTTGATCCCAACCAGGAGATTTTTTCACCTTTAGATCCTTTATCACTTCTTGCACCTCAATTTCATTCGTGGGATGTAAATACATTGTGTTTTCAAATACTTCTATGTTTTCCACATAATCATCAGGTGTGGGTATTTTTTCTGAATATTTTCGTCCAAGGTCACTATAGTATTCGTTGAAACTATTGGAAATCTCTAGTTTATTGGTCACATTGGTTCCATTTTCTGAAATTATTTTATCAATTTTTGTTGTTGGTTTGGATTTAGAGCAGATTTTATTCACACATTCCCACAAGGTCTTGGAATTATTTTTATTTTTATCGAGTAAATTTTGCATGTATTGCCTTTTGGATACTTGAATGAGAGATCTCAATTCATTCTTATAATAATTGTATCTGTTTTTCAAATCTACATCATAAGGGTTATCTTTCGTTTGTTTAAAGAGATCATTTTTTTTATTGACTGACGCGAGGATTGCAGGAGTGATCCATTTTTTTCTTATTTCTTCTTTCTTTCGTTGATTTCTTACAATTCTAGTGTTTTTTTCAATATAATGTTTAAGTTCGTCAATGAATGTTTTGGTCATATCATTAACGTTCTCCATTTGGTAGACTGATTGCCAATTTTTATTCTCTAGTTCGGTTCTTAAGCATTGATAATTTATGAATTTTTTGGTTATTATGTTTTCTGACATGTTATGTCCTAATCGGTTATTTTCAAGTGTTAACGCAATGGGTAGATGATCGGTTATGTCGTAGTTGAAGATATATGAATCTATATTGAAGGCTGTTGAGTTATCTTTAACAAAAAAATGATCCAAGCAGGTTTGACTAATAGGACGAGTGATTTTATTTATATAAGAAATAAAATTATATGAGTTCAGTAAATTTTTATAATGTTCTACATAGTCCAAGTCATTCAGAAGGTCAATATTAATGTCTCCAGTTATAATGTGTTTGTCAGTATTCTTTTTTTTGTCTAAATAGTTCATTAATTCATCGTTGAACATTTTGGGGCAGGTATTAGGGGATCGGTATATTGCTGTTATGGTGATCTTGTCACTATTTTTCATGACCGTAAACTCTAATGCCTTCATTTCTCCTATTTGAATGATTTTATGGTTAAAATTCAAATGTGATCTTATATAAACTAATATACCATCATTCCTGTTTAATTTTCCTTCACTATAAAGCACATTATATCCTTCAATACTAATAGTGTCTGTTTCGTACAGTTGAAAAGTTTCTGACAAAACAATTATTTCAAATTCATTTTTAAGTTGATTTAAAAATATTTGTAACTCATCAAAGTTTTTACAAACACTTCTAATATTCAAGTGCAATATCTTGAAGCTATTCTTATACATATGACAATCATTTTCAATTATATGTGTATCAACTATTTTATTTTCGTAACACCTTATAAAAGGGTCCATATTATTTAATCAATTACATATAAATCCTTTCCAAATATTCTTTTTGTTTTCATTATTTTGATGTCTGTTATATTTTCTTACTAGTGGATCCTGATCTCGTTTTAATTACATTAGGTTTTTGAGGCATACAAGATAATTCAAGAGGTTTTAAGGGTTTCTTGTTGGAATTTCCACTCGGATCAGGGAAATTTCGGGACTTTGGTTTATCTATCTGCTCTTTGACTATATTGGTAGCTTCCTCAGTTTCTTGATTCTCTCCTTGTTTGAATTGTTGTATTCTTGGGGTGGGGGGAGCACTGTTCCATAAGATGATCCGATGACAAGGTGGAGTTGATCACACTTTCCTTGTATTTTTTGTGTGAAATTCCTATAATGTTCGAGATAACCCAGATATTTGTGAGCTTGAAAGCTTCAGGACACCTTGTATAGTCGAGATGTCCGACGACATGCTCAGAAGATAAGTGATTGGGTGAGAGTTTTACCTTCTTGGTAACGGAGATGCTGATGCACCCTATAGTTTCTGTGATTTCAAGCCACCCTCTTAGGTTTGAGAAGTATTCGGGGTTCAAAACTAGCCATAATAACAGGGTATCAAACCATTATAGAACTTCCCTATTTCAGGGTTAAATTATAGGTCACAATATTGCATATGTCATGCACAACCTAAGCAGTAATTATTTATCGAGGGTTATTTTTTGTGTTCCCGTTAGGTTTCATGTTTGAAACTAGTTTGTTCACGATGAGAATCGATATATACAGAAAAGTTTGAAAGTTGATTTACTTTATCTATAAGGGCCATATACATACAATGTTAGTTCCAAAATCGATATTGGGAGAGGACTAATACAATTATTTCCAAATATTCATGGATAAATATCACATTGGTGTACATGCATGGAGGGTGCACGCGAGGGTGCACGAATGAAAAAAAATTCATCAATACCGAAGTCATACATCAATAAATTGCTATCTGATAGTGGGAATATTCAATTATGGCGCTTATAAGACCGTTGCTAATGTCACAGTAGTTTTACATGAAATTCACATTACCCCGCATAAAAGTCGTAGAAAAATTTATATAGCTAGGAATGAACTATCTGATGTAAAATTATTCATTATACACAAACCGTATAATCTTTGCCGCTACTTCAATACCCCAAATTACATACCTGGCCGATATAATACGGTCGAAAATTAAAATGTTAGAACTTCCATTTTAATTATTAAATAACCCTTGTCAAGCCAAAGCAGAGGTAATACGAAAATGATTATACAGATCAGCGTTCCCTTTTATACAAAAATTGCTTCATTAATGGCAACTCCTGATATTCTAGAAATTACTCCGACTGAAGTAATATCAAAATAATAACTCAATTCATTCCACTTTGTCTTAAAGCGCGCACGGAAAATAGCTATAAAAATACAAATACTTAGTCCACAGGCGATGCTATATTGTTTGTATACGAGTAATGAAAAGTTAATTATGGTACCATGAGTTTTGTTTTTTGTGCACAGATTATTTGATCGAGAAGGAGAATCTACAAGTACATTATACATCTCTGTACTAATTATTCACTCCCAGTTTTTTTTCACATACTTCCCAACTTCTGTTTGATCGTATAAGTATTGAGGTCGATATCCTGTTATCAACAACTTATCTCTCCAATATATTCATCTGTTGATATAAATTGAAACTAAAAGTTACAAAGAGGTTCTATTATGCAGCTCTTGAATCACTGAAGAGGTCGAATACATGGTGAATTATTGTTTTTCCCTTCATCTGCTGGATTGTGTTTGGAATGATGTACTGGTGATGACCCACAATCAAGGAAAAGAAGGAGATACCTATGCCATACAGCCATCAACTCCGGTGATCCACAATGATCAAGGGGAAGACCACGATGTACGATCAATATTATAAGTAAAACTTGAAAGAAATCGAATCTATAGCGTTTTGAAATCAGCATATTCCAATCGATATTTAAAAAAATCAGATATAAAAGTGGAGGCGTGACGTATCAGTCCCGAACTGTAGTTATCTCTCACTAATACTTTGCCATTCTGCAATGTTGGAGAGCTATTAGGTAGTCAATTCAAGGACAAAAGGCGTGTTGGGGCTAATGTGTGCCTTGAAATGAACATATTTTATTTTTTATTTTTTTGTTCTAGTATGCATCAAAAAGTTCGAAATCATCTTCACAGGTAGTTTTTTGTTATACAGCTCATGTTGATGTTGATTCAAAAATTCAGTATTATCCTCCATTTTGTTCTGTTGGGAGCAACCACTCGCCCTATTCATACCTTTGCAGAAGATAGTACCCTCAATATTGCGTTCTCTTCCAGAATGCTCATTTCTTCTCAGGACACTGAGAACTCACGGCGAAGGCAGGTCAACGCTGTCAATGGAGAACTTGCTAAAATTATAACCTGGGAACCAACAACCTTGTTGAATTCAAGGCCACTGAAGCTCAGGCCTGTATTTTCTCTGGAAATACGGAGCATAGTATATTATGTCTGATATATCAATGTCTGGTGCCATATCATTCCCACAAAGTCTACTTCATATATGCTCGGTAATTCCATCAGTTAGTTTGCTCCACTTTCAAAATAAACTGAACAAAACGTAATCGAGAAATCCTCTCTTAGAGACCTGGACAGGTATGAATCCTCTAGATCTAGAACGTCGTCCTAGGAGTAGTCAACTTGGTCCCGTTCTTGGGCCTATTTTCATGCTTTCAGTGATTTGTGCATTGCCTTAATTTATTATAGCTTGTTCTTCTGTGAGGCTGATGATGTCTCCTTGGAAGCTTCACTTTCCATGACCGAAAAAAAAAAGGGACAACAGGAAATCTTTTCCCCCTATTCTGTGCATCAGAATGTTGTTGAAAATTATGATGGAAATACTGTTGTAATTCAAATGAGAATCTGCGCAACGACATTGAAAACCTACATTTGTTCAGAGAATATAAGACCGAAGGCTAACTAAAAACAAAACATATTTTCCACCAGTATGTGGAAATACCCCCGTAGTCATTCAGTGATGAAAATGGTTCTTATATGGATAAAACAACAGTACAGAGTGTTAACTATCAAAAAGGCAAACATTCTTGTTACAACCTCATTGTTTGGCGTTGAATTTGAATCGAGTCCTCAACTTTAACTTACCGCCACTCTACTTTCTTTCAAGTCCAGTCTCATCGCTAGGGCCTCTCTCATGAACACGTCGGGGTAATGGCTGGCGACGAACGCCCGTTCCAGTTCCTCCAACTGCCAACTGTTGAAGTTCGTCCTACTCCTTCGCCTTTTCGATGCAGCACTCTCGGAGTCTGCTTCTCCACTGCTGCCAGCGCCGCCTGAAAAAGAAGTCAACTTTATGAAATGATTCGAAGATAGTTATAGTATATCCAATATCAATTGCAGAATATTCCGCACTGTGCGGCGTCGGCGTCTTTGAAGATTCCTTTGAAGACACTGCAGGTGCGGCACAAGATTCTGCAATTGTTTTTGGATAGACTATAGTAATTTCGTTGGTCTGCTCAAGTCTTCATTGAAATACACGTATTCGCGGAGATCAATGTTACCAGGTGGCGCTCGGTTTTCATCGTTCCATGTCAAAGCCACGTCAAAACTGGGGGAAAACAAACTCAATCCTCACTCAATCGCATTAGTGCCATTAGCTTGGGTACTGTGTACTGATAAGAGTGATGAGTTTTCAAATTTCTTGACATAAATTGTCAATATTCGATCGAAAACGCTAATAACGCCTGTTGTAGATGTTCTTTTGGCAGATATTTTGCTCTATTTGAACGGAAAATGCCGACCAGTAGTGGAAGGAGAAGCAGTTCTCCGTGCTAATCATGTAATTTTGTGTGAGGCTTCAACAAAAGTCACATTTTTGCACTTTGTCTACAAACTTCGGCGATGAGATCTTCCCCACATGAAGTAAAATTGAAGTTGGGGTCTAGAGGAACTCCTGTAGAACAATGGATTTGTATTTGTTCATGCAAAGCAGGACAATCTGGGTATTGTAAACATGTTGTAGCTGTTCCTTCATATGTCAATTGATTTGCTCGTCATAATCAGTTTGAATTGTTTGAACTAGTTTGAACTAGGGTCCCTTGATGCAAACTGACGTATTTGTCATCTAACAGGGTACGGACAGATCCTCGTCGCCTCTCACTCTAAAGTGTTTGTGAAACAGTTATATAGTTCCATCCTTATTCAATTCTGGGGATAAACACTAGATTCTTGACATTTGTTGTTTTTTAGGTCATTGGCGTATCATACGCACTGAACTATACAGGGTATAGTTCAGTGATCATACGTAATTTCCATATGGAATTCCTGCTTCAACTATACCAAGCCAAGATATAGATGATCAATCCTCTAGTTTTAGAGTTTACTCCTCCAGCATAATTCTTTGCGAGGTAGGGAGAATACAAATTGTACTAAAAGCTTAATATATTTCACCAAAAGAGACTGTTCTTAGACTGTATACCAGGGTTGACTATGAATTGGCTGAATGAATTCTGATTTCAAGCTATGCAGAGCTGAATGAGCTGAGCCTTATGATTGAGAAATGGTGAAAACCTCGATGTGGGTATCTAAACTACTGTACTCATGTCATGCGTGCTAAGTATATTTTCGGAAATCCAACTCGGAGAAGAATTTATGGAGCGACTAATATCACACTATGTATAAAACTTCGTCTAGGACAAAAAGTAAGCTGATAAAAAGTGTACGTAAAAGAATCGAATATATTTAACCCCCATATGTAATACATATGATTATTTCGTCTTCCTTGAATGAAAAGTCATTTTCAAATAATTTATTGATGAAAGTCACAAAAAAGTAGGTATACAGTATAATTTATAGGCACGTTATTTCCACTCTTGCATCCTACATATTTTCAATTTGTGGTAGAGTAATAATTATATAAACTGATGTTAAAAGTGCAGTTTCGAGCAGTGGTTATTTGAATACCATGCTAGAAGTGAGATCTGGAGCCAATGCAGTTTTCGTGATATTTTCATAAAAAAAACATTATTATCAATTTCATTGACTTCAGTGACCCACAATTTGGTTCGAAATTTTTTGCTATTTTGTGAGAGATTGCTGCACATACCCTTCAGCGATATTCGTAGACTACCAAGCAAGAATGTCTCCTCCAGAATTTGCAAGTGAAGTTTTCGAGGTTTTTCTGAAACTATGCCCGGTATAATTTATGACATAAGGCAGTTTTAAAAATTCTGCAATTTTTTATATGAATTTCCACAATAAGATTCTTTCCAACCATTTGGTAGATACATTTTCCTGCTCTATACAGACAAATAAACATGTGTGATATATTCATTATTAAATACCATATGACGTGACTTTCTCTTTTTCTCCCTAGGGAGAAAAAGTACTCTTCCTCAATACGGAGGAAAATTACGATATTGCTCCCTACATTGAGGCAAGGAAATGTATACTTTGGATAGAGGTAGGCTTTTGCCATATTGAATCCGATATCTTGAATTTCCCAATTTTGACAAAAAATCATAAAGTTCGACCCCAAGAACACTAAGATACCAATCTTGAATAGAATCAGATCATAATTAGAAAATTCTTTCGCTATATATTGGATCCGTCATCTTGAATTTCCCAAGTTTGACGAAACAGTCATTATCTCCAACCCCGGAAAACACCAGATACCTTCCAATTTTGAATAGAATCGGATCATAATTACAAAACTCGTTCGCCATATGATCTTCCTCAACAAGTAGATACCCTGTACATACTTATTAAAATTTTGAATGATTTTCTGTAGCGCCCATGGATGTGACGTGACAGCAATGTCAGGGATGCCAGTAGACAAAACTAAAGTCTCTAGATCATTAAAAAAGAATGCAGCTATGATCTGTCCGTACCCTGTTAAGATGACTTTAACGTCAATTTCCATCAAGGGACCCTAGTTTGAACTATCTTCAATTCTTCTGTTCACTAAACTAATAACAATGTAATAATGTGAAAAAAATAACCAACTCAACCATCATCACTACCAACAGTGCCAACACTTTATGTCATTGACGAGTTCGACTAAAGCTACAACAAGCTGAATGCAATGTAGTCTATGCACTTTATCCATAGACAACAGTTTGTTTTCCCCCAGTTTGAGGTTCGTATTATGTAACCTAGATGTCGCCCACTTCGTGAATCTCGCGAATTGCGGCTATTCGTCAGTGACGTTTCATCCCTTTTGGTATTTGTCATTGCCAATACCACAGCAAAAACGCAAAATCAATTTGTTTCAGTGCTTGGACTCATTCACCAGAGAGGAGTCATTGGATGGTGAAGACAAGCCTACTTGTTCCAAATGCAAGGAAAGGCGAGAATGTACAAAGTCATTATGTTTTCAGGGATTCCCTGAAATTCTTGTCATCCATCTGAAACGTTCCTCGTTGAATCGGTTCATAGAAAAACTGAACGTCTTAGTTGATGTACCTTTAGACAGACTGGATATGAGTCATTACGCTGCTGATGGAAGTATACCATTACACTACGATCTTTATGCTATTTCGAACCACAGCGGTACTATCAACAGTGGTCAGGTTAGGTTAGGTTAGGTTAGGTTATTGAAAAAGATCGAAGATTGTGAATAATAAAACCTCTTTGCTGAAAACCAGAGTTCTCAGAGTCTTATAATATAATATCTTTAACACAAGGAATCACCCCTTGAATTTTTTCGGTGTTATTAAGATACACCCTGTACATGAATAAATGCCCTGAATCTCTTAACTTTCGAGCAATAGGTTATCCCTATTATTGATTGAAGGAACATTCACAATGTGAAAAATTGTCCCGTTTATGAATACTGTCAAAATAATTCAATCGATCAAATATCATTATTTCAAAAACAAAATGGACACCAGCTCACTAGTTCAAAATGATTCAGTTTTACAAAAAATGCAAGAAATAGTTATTTATTCCACTAGGCAGCAAAGTAGAGATTTACTGCCGCTGCTGATAGTCCATAGCCAAGCGTAGCGATCCTAGGAATTCAGCCAAGGCAGATTCTCATTTGCTGATGTCGTGTGAATCATAATTGCTTCTCCACATGTCATAAAACCATTTTTGTGAAATATTTTGATTGAAAACTCCATCATTTGGTGTTTATCCAATGTTAGTGTTAATTTTGATTTCCGATTTCATTCAAATTACTTGGAACGTTCCATAGAAACAAACTTTAGTGCCTAGGCAGGAGAAGTACACATCTCCTGCCTGATGGTTAATGTCTGAGAAAAGCCACTTTTCATGCCACTTGGAGGAGACTGTTTTTTTTACTCTATATAATCTAGTAGAAGCAGTAACACTGCATTGTCGAAAAGATTTTAAATTAATAGAGCGTATTGTAAAATATTAGCATGCACATTTTCATAGATTCCTCCCCACTGACTCTCGATATAAAGATAGATTCAGCTCGTCGTGACATACCCTGTAGATATACCTGTTATTTTATATCTTGGAAAATGAAAATAGATCAGAATGGACTAATTTTCCCAATTGATCGATAACCTCACTACAAGTCCAGAATGATTGAAAACATCAATGTATAGGAGATCGCAATATACGTCTCTGATGATTCTCTCCTAATTCCTCTATTTCAACCAGCTGCGATAATGGCGTTAACTAGCTCCATCGGTCTCAACAAACTATTAGCGTCCTAATGACCCGCTGCTAAATACGTAATAGTTACAAATTGATAAAGGCTCGCATTAACAACTAAACGCGGCCATTTGTCCGAACGGTCAGCATATCGCCGCAGAACCGTTCGACCAATGGGAGAGCTGCGATCGCCGTCGGACGCGTAAATCAAGCAACAATTATTGAATCCCCGATTCAATTCGACAACAACAAATTATTATTGGCGTTCGATCGAGCGTGAGCTGATCGTAGTGTTTTAATCGAAAATTATTCCGATGGTCGTGTTGGATATTCATTAAAATTCAAATTGGATTTCTATGTTTGTCACGGGCACGTGAATTAATTTCCTGATTCTGAAAAAAAAACGATTCGGTTTGGTCTGCTTTTAGATCCAAAATTTGATTGGGTGATGCGAAGATCAAACCTCATTGGCTATTTTTTTTTCGGAGGAAGTCAAAATCCTTTATGGACACGACGAAGGATCATTGCCTTCATGGTAGTGTGGAAATCCTTACATGTAGGTTTACCCATTAAACATTCCACCTACATTCAAGGCTCGTCTGACCGAAGTCTTCGATGAAACTCAGGCCTGTTGGCCCATTGTACCAAGTACCTCGAATATGTCGTTATTGATTTCATCATATACGACCCATG